GGAGGCCTCTTCTTTCCATCCATCAGCCTCCTGGGGTGTGACTGGCATTTCCACCTTCTTTCATTTGGACGCCAACGATTTCCTGTTCCTGAGGCATTGATTTCCATTTGCATTGTTGATGGACGCGCAGCCTCTCACCAGGAAACACCAAAGTTTAACACTTTGCTTCGGTTACTTGTTTTAGCCCCCACATAGCAAATCAAATGCATCAAGTTTTATTAATCAGATGAAAACACATCTCATTCTTTACTCTTCAAAACATAAAATTTAATACAGCATCTGGAAGAATATTTTTCTCATTGGTAAAAGCCCAGGCCCATCACAGGTGACCCCTCACACCCCGCCCACCACCTGCCGCCGCGCTCAGGTGGGCGCCTCAGGTCAATCAGTTCTCTTTTGACTGTGACATACACCGAGTGATATCTGAGAAAATCATGGAGCACTTCCATCGCTGACTTGGATGTTTTCTGTGATTAAAGTGGTGAACGTATCTAGGATAAAGAACTGAGGGGAAAAATGATAAATTCAGAGACTTTAAAATTTGAATTTTACATAAAATAAACAGAGTTTAGTGTAGTTTTAGGAACCACGAAGAAAGACATCCACACATCATTCATCGCTCCAGTTTTAGTCTTTGGTCTTAAAGTAAAATAAAAAGTAAGATATTAAAATGTTCTGAGAGAAACTGAACAGAGGCTCCATCGGATGCAGATGATTCTGCCGGAGGTCACTTCCTGTTAAAAGCGAGGTTTTCCTTCATAGCAGGATGTTCGGGTTTCTCTCTATAATCAGACGCTCTTTACGTCACAACATAAAGTGCAATGAGGTGACCGTTGTTGTAAACTGGCACTATATGAATAAATAAACCTGAATGGAATTTATTATTATTGATGGCAAATCATGTCCTGGATCGAATTCACCCACCAAAGCATAAAATACAAAGTACACAATGGTGACGGACGCAGAGAGAAAAGCTTCATCGCGGCCGTCTAAAAAAGGCCTTGAAGGTTGAATCGTCCATTTCGGTCTGAGATTCTGGGCTGAGCCACCACACACATCCAAAAATACAAACTGACCACGTGACCGCTCAGCGCCGGCCATTTATCAAAGATTTCACTGCAGAAAAACAGGTGAAGCTAAACTGAGTGTTAGAGCAGCTCCCAGTGAGCAGGAAGGGGGACGCCAGCCCATCCTGGGTCTCTGAACCCGACTCCCTGCTGCAGTAACGTGATAAAAACAAGCACCGACACACTGTGATCGGCACAACAGAATAAAATAGCCTCTTATTGTCATTGTACGTGTACAACAAACTTCTAGACGCCAACAAACAACAATATTCTTGCATTTTCTACTTTTTGCTTCAAATGTCTTCTTTGCATCCGTGGAAAAGGAAAAACCCGTTTTTAACTTGTTTAAATGTTTTATTTTGTTCGGACACTGGAGGAAATATTGAGATGGACGCCCACTCAGCAAATATCTAAACTTCACTCGTCTGTCATCTCATCATCAAGTCTTACCCCAAAATCAAAGAAGAAGAATCTTAAACAGCTTTTGTGGGAAAAAAAACAGTCGAGCAAAGTCACAAATCCATAAATCCACATCCATGTTTATGCTTCCACTTTTAATTCCGACTTAAACCGAAGAACATTAAGCTGGAGGTAATCCTCCGAGTGCACGGACGCCATCAGCACGTCTGTATGCCAGAGCTAAAAGCCAGCATTAAAAATATGATCTTAAATTTACTTTATTTTATGTCATTTTAATTTGTCATCATTACCTTGAGATGAACTGCTGGGAGCTGTGATTTAATGGGGCGCTGCTACGCTGCATATCGCACTGCAGTAAATGTCTCGGCTCTATAAAACGATGTATTGATTCAACAGTAAAACTACACTCAAAATTCCACTTCTTGGTTCTATAACTCACGCATATAAAAGGAAATTCCTCCACTAATTCTTTATGACGTGTGGCTGCACCTGATGACAGAGTGAAACCAGGTTTAAAGCAGGACTCCTGTGCAGCGCGTTCACACTTTGTTTGATTCTCTGCTCTGGTTTTAATGCAGCACCACCACAGGACCAATTAACGGAACTGTGTTAAAACGCTGGCGACACAAAGCCTGCTGGGAGCTCGGGGGGGCGGGGGAACGCCTCCTGGCAGCAGAGGAATTAGCCTGGATCAAAGCTCGTTTCCAGCGCTGGCTTAAAGGATGTGGAGCAGCTGGGACTTCCAGCTCATCGCCACATGTTCAGCTTAAACCGTCGCGTGTGTGGCGTCTTCTTTGCGTCTGGCCTAAACAGTGCAAAGGTGCAACATCCACTCCCTGGATGTTCACCAGTGTCAGTGTGCAGAGCCTCCACACTGACACCGGTGAACATCCAGGGAGTGGACATGGAGATAGTGGACTCTCATAGGTACCTGGGTGTTCACCTGAGTAATAAACTGGACTGGAGCCACAACACTGATGCTCTGTACAGGAAGGGTCAGAGCAGACTCTACCTGCTGAGGCGGCTGAGGTCATTTGGAGTCCAGGGAGCGCTTTTAAAGACCTTCTATGACTCTGGTGGCATCTGTCATTTTTTACAGTGTGGTATGTTGGAGCAGCAGTTTATCGGCAGCTGAGAGGAAGAGGCTGGATAAACTCATCAGGAAGGCCAGCTCTGTTCTGGGATGCACCCTGGACCCAGTGCAGGTGGTGGAGACAGAAGGACTCTGGCCAAAATAACATCTCTGATGGACAGAGTCTCCCACCCCATGCATGTATGTTGCTGCAGAGCTGCTTCAGTGACAGACTGCTGCATCCTCGATGCATGAAGGAGTGTTTCTGCAGGTCCTTCCTCCCTGCAGCTGTCAGACTGTACAATCAGAACTGCTCCCAACAAACACAGATGTTTACATGTGCGCTGTAATAACTTCTACTGTTGTAACTGCACATTACTTTTCTCAGCTTATATATAAACTAACTTATTGGAAGTTACATGTCTACTTTTTAATGCACAGGTACAATACACAAGCTGCACTTTTCTACTTATTCTAAATATTCTTAACTAGGGCTGCTCGATTAATCGAATTTTAATCTCGATTACGATCTGGGCTTTCAACGATCATTAAAAATGACTGAGCCGATTATTAGCCCCTCCCTCGTGCTGTACTCTCGCGCTGCTCTGTGTGGCAAATCGAGCACACCTCTCTGTGTTTCGAACACGTGTCACAACAATTTACACCAGCGGTCTCCAACCTTTTTTGCGGCACGGACCGGTTTATGCCCGACAATATTTTCACGGACCGGCCTTTAAGGTGTCGCGGATAAATACAAGAAATAAAATCAGTACCGGTACCGAAAAAAAGAAGATTTATTGATAACACACATGAAAAGACCGAGGAAAACCGAGTAAATGATCAAAACGATAACAAAATAACGCTGAAAACCAATAAAAACCCTGAAAACCAAACATTTCACAGCTGAGCCTCAACTCTCGCGGCCCGGTACCAAACGACTCACGCACCGGTACCGGTCTGAGGCCCGGGGGTTGGGGACCGCTGATTAAGAGGACCCGAGGGAAGCTCGGAAAGCTGAGCAGAAGTTATTAGGAGAGGAGAGTGACTGCTGTTGGTTGAAAAGAGGTAAAAAACTTCAGTGGTGTGGAAACATTATTGGTTCAGTCAGACGTGGATCAAGTAGACACAGTGTGTAAACTTTGCTACGGTGTCGTAGCTGCACCACAGAGCAACACTGCAAAGCTCACTAAACATAGATGTTTACATTTTTCATTTGTTTCTTATATTGCAAACATTTGCACTGTTATCAGTATTTGCACTGTTTTATATTATTTTATGACAATCTTTAAAGTCATTATTCAACACATTGTTATTGTTAAATAAATATCATCAAATAATCGAGATCTCAATATCAGTGAAAATAATCGTGATTATCATTTTTGCCATAATCGAGCAGCCCTATTCTTAACTATTTAAACATCTTTCAGTGTCCTGCTCTGTCTGCACACTATCTGTACGCTAGTTTGAACAACTCTGCTCTGGTAACTGTTGTCATGATGCAAATATGTAACAATTGTGTTTTTTTGTTTTCTGTTCTATGTCCTGTTCTTTTTGTATATGTGTGTTTTTTTGCTGCTGATACAACCAAATTACCCGTTGTGGGACAATTAAAGGATTATTCTATTCTATTCTATTTTATCCTATTCTATTCTATCCTAATCGCCTTGAAAACCTTTGAGAAGGAGGGTTTCTCAGGTGTAGCACTTTAACTGGTAGCAAAGCACACACTGTGCGTGATGAGCACATGACTAAACGGAGCCAGCAAACAGAAACGCCTTAAAGTGCCGAGTTACAGCTGAGCTCAACTCTGCCGGCCTGACATTAATAAAGCGCTCTGAGGTCATACTGGGCTGGGTTAGTCACTCTGTGGCGACATCCACATTTCCAATGTGGGATTTTTATCGTGTATTTATGCCAAAAAGTTGAAACGACATCCTGATAGAAAGAACTTTTTCCCTTTCTTTTCCCACCTGCTTCCTTTAAGTGTGTCGCTCCCTGCAGCGTTAACGTACAGCCTTCATCGTGCCCTCAATATGTCAACTGACTAACGGGTGCTGGGAGGGAGGCATCCGCCGCCACTAAACGGGCAGACAAGGAAACATTAGAGGAGAGCCGTGTGCTGCTTTGATGCCAGTACGAGATACTGGGAGGAAAACAAAGAAGGCGCCGTGTGGTTGGACGCTGACGACGTCTCCCGTATTAGCCAGCATGCAGAGAAGAAAGGACACAGACAGAAAGAGAAATAAATGGGTTTGCCTCCGAGTGTTTTATCTTTTAATTGCATCAATATCAGGCGTGGATAAGCATGTGCAGGCAGAACATTAGCGCAGGAGCAGATATTATGTTGTCTTGTATGTAGCGCTCTCCATTTGTAGTCTCATCCCACGGCAACTACATCACTGAGGAGGAGCAAACGGCGGTTTTGGTCGAAGTAGTTCGACAGCAACAGGTGTGCGACTTTACTCATCTTGATAATCGGTCACAGTTACACCTGTAATCATACAGAGGTCTGATTACACTCTTTGATTTGATCGGTAACTGAAGTACCGGCTGTAGGATGTCCAATCAGGGTTCTCACAAGGAGACAGCGTGGTGACCAATCGCTGGACAGCAACCAGGCAGGCCAGCAGGGGTGGGGTTTAATCCAGCTGTGGCTCAAAGAAAGCGCGTGAGTACTTCAGAACGAGAGTCGATGAAAAGCAAACATAAATTTAATGATTCACTTCAAGTCAGGTCCTCAACAGGAAGCCGTCATTGTTTGCTCTGGACTCTGAAGTTAACAATGCATTAGCAGCACAGGAGAGTACTTAGAGTTTAAAAACGATCCAGTAGGTGAGGAGTGTTATAATGTAGGCGAGAGCTGTGATTAGTGTGTTCAGCGGTGTTGTTAGGTTGCCTATGAACAGGCTTCAGGGAGGCTGTGGGAAGATGACAGTTAGCACCTGCCACAGGCTAATCGCTGGGACGGGGTGAAGCGGACTCTCGTACTGGTGTTACAGGAAACAGGACTCACTAAAAGCCACAATCTTGAGGTTAACCAAAGTCAGTGACAATCCATCTGTCAGAGCAACAACTGGGATTAACTTTTGATTCTGCAAAGGAACCTGAACCTGAAGGTGGAGACGGATTCCACCTGTTCTCCATCCATAACGACAGGACAGTGGACCTGTGTCTGTCCACTACGACTTCTTTGGTTTTAAGGACGGTCTCTGAGCGGGACAGGTCGTCTGCCTCCGCCCTCTACGCTGTCTCACCTCCATCAGAGATGAGCCCAACCACGGTGGCATCATCGGTATACATGATGATGACGGTGGTTGGGTGGGTTGGTGTGCAGCTGGTGGCTGAATACGTAGCCCTGTGGGATCAGGTGCTGAGTGACAGTGGGGGGGATCTGAAGGTAAACAGTACATGTGTACAGAACACATACTGCATGTATTATATAGATCAGGTGTGCTCCCAGCAGGTAAACTGAGCTGAATGTCTCATTCACTGCTGAGAAGCTGAGAAGTGTTTTTGCTTCTTTAAGACTGAAACCTCTGTGGGCCCGTTTAATTAGCCCGCCTGTAACACCAGTTTAATGGAAATCAGCTTCAGAGCCCAGCATGGACTCATGTGCCGTCTCTCAGATTTGGGTCTCCTGCTATTCTCCACCAACTGTGCTGGAATTATACTTTGGCAGCAGGACAAAGAGCGGACTCTGGCTCGTTGCGTTAGCATAAACGTGTGTCAGCATTTCACTCTGCGTGCTTACATGCTGTTTGATCCAAATCAGCGGTCTCCAACCTTTTTTGCGCCACGGACCGGTTTATGCCCGACAATATTTTCACGGACCGGCCTTTAAGGTGTCGCGGATAAATACAACAAAATCAAACTAGTACCGGTACCGAAAAAATATTTATTCATAACACACATGAAAAGACCCAGGAAAACCGAGTAAACGATAAAAACGATAACAAAATAACACCGAAAACCAATAAAAACCCTGAAAACTATACATTTCACACCTGAGCCTCAACTCTCGCGGCCCGGTACCACACGACTCACGGACCGGTACCGGTCCGAGGCCCGGGGGCTGGGGACCGCTGCTCTAAATGATTATTTACCTTCAACAAAGACAAGAACACATAATTAGCTGTGAAGAGTTTCTCGTTCGCGGACGGCAGCCATTACTGAACGCTTGATGACACTTAATGATCAAATCAGATGATTGGTGGGTAAGTTCTGAACACAATCTTCAAATTCATCCATTTATTATGCCGAGCTGAGCTAATAAAGCTTCACGTCTGGAGATGAAGACTGGAAACAATGAAACCATGCACTCTTGTTCTAAAAGCAGATCTAAAACGTTTCTATCTAATTTGATGAACTTCATCCAGGTGTCACAGCAAGACACCTTTAATGACCACCTGAGACAGGTGAGGAGGAACGTCACAAACACTCTTCAGCAGTAAACCACAGCGACGAGGTCCCTCCGCTCTCTGGTCTTCACTGTACTACACGTGATTATTCACTAGCCAATTAGCAATCAGCAAGGCCATAAATCTGAGCTCTAAGAAGATGTGAATACTTCATTTCCTGCTCTGCTGAACAGGAATCGGATGAGAAATAAATATATAAACGTAGCGGGTGAACACAGACACCGCAGCCGTTCCGCTCATTTCCTCGCTCGCCCTCTCTTTTATGAAATGTGTTGAAGGAGGCAGCTGCTGTCTGACGCATGACAGCAGATTAAACCGTGTGAAGCTGTGCGATCGTACCGTGAAGGTGTAGTGACTGCCGCGGGGAAGTAAAGTCCAATTAACTTGGTTTCCATTAAACTGAGTTTCAGGCGCAAAAGTAGGAAAACATCATTTTGTTATAGAAAAATCAAACGTTCTTTCAGGTTCATCCTACGAGTGAAATCGTGTTATTTTTATGGTTTCTGAGCCTTACAGCAGAAATCCAACATTGTTTCCTCTTCCTGTTTTTGATCAGGTCGCTCGTCTCAGCCAACGCCGGGTTAAAAAAAAGCCTTATATCCACAGTAAGCACCGCCTCCTCGAGCTTCTAACCAGTAATCTGCGATTACTAATCGAGTCTTTGTTATGTAAACAATCACATTTAAAGTGTGCGACAGTGTGGAAACAGGCGTACATCAACCCTACTGATGATCTTTGAACTTTGTTATTCCCAGGACATCAATTATCACCAGTTTGTCAAAGTTGCTGGTCACCACCATGATGACAAGACTCTCACAGCTGGAGAGGCATGAAGCTACTTTTTGCACATTCCTATTTTTGCAGTTTTTGCACTTTATGTAGTCCTGTGCTGTACCACTGCACACAGTTGGAATGACAATAAAGCCACTTGGCATGAAGCGAAGCTGTTGCTGGAGGACGCCTGCAGCCGACGGCGCTTGCTCCTTCTTCTCCTTCTCGTCTTTGGCCTGTCGTTGCCGCTGGTTGGTGTTTGGCAGCGTTACTGGTCGTCGCTGTTGTTGGCCGGTTGTGTTGGTGTGCTGTAAAGGTTGCGCTTTGTGTGTCAGTGCTACCGTGCATGCTTACCGCGTCTATATTTTTATAAAAATCTACAATGTTTTCCTCAACACGATAAATCTTTGACACCTCACAAACAAAACATGAGCAGTAATTAAATTAAGACTGTTGGTTAATTATTATTGAAAGTTTCTTGTGGTGCAAGATTGGAATGAAACGACCCAAACAACCATTGAAATACAACATTAAACTTCTTCCCTGTTATCGGTCTCTAATGTTACGTTACCATTAGCAGCCTGCAGGAGGACATGCGTCTGCTGCCCATCAGCCTCCTAATGTCTCATTTTCCTGCTGTTTTCACTTGGAAACACTCAACCCATTATTTCTATTCAATGGGGCACAGTGACCTGCATTTAATACGGTTATAAGAACCTACTGGTATTTAGAGGCGGCCACCTACTGGTTACATGTGTGACACTGATGAAGAGTAATAACAGTCATTTAAGGCTGAGAGCATGAAAAAGAGTAGACATCTACCTGAAAGGTGAAATGGTTTTAAAAGCACGTCACACGTCTGCTGAGCACCTCTCCAAGACGACTGGAGAATTATTACTCCACAGATACTCATCTTAGTGCAGGGATATGAAACTTCAAGTGAATCTGAGAGCAGGAGTCAGTTTTTCCAATTATTAGGAGGCAGATCCTCATAATATGTGTTACAGTAAAAGACACTGACTTTATTTATGGCTGAATTCAGCTGATAGGTTTTTAAGTTAATGAGGAAGTACTGCAGCTCTTATAGATGTGAGATCCAATAAGCTGATAGCGTTGTTTTGGTGGGAAATCTCACAGACCAACGCGACTGGATAAGACGAGCTTGCACTGGAAGAAAATGATTTATACTGAAAAACAAAGACATCTGACACAATCTGGGGAATCTTGTTTGAAATATGTGGAAAGTTTAATTGGACTCCAAGACCCAAAACAGCTTTTTGTCATTTTATGTCTCAAAATTCATCGACCTTTAAAATAAACTGGGCTGTGCACGCCCACCCATCCAGAGTTTGAAACGCATTAGTGTGCTGCTCAGTGAACACCTCGGTTACAATACTACGTTTAGCAAACCCCTCGTAATTTTCTTTGAGTATGAATGAATATCACTGCAGTGGTGTTGCAGAGTGACCTGTTCTGCTGGGAGTCGCCTCGTTTAGACGAAGGAAACCAGCTGCTGTGGCATCATGAGCAATGCTTCACCTCTTTTTAAACAGCGTGCAGCAAAAACGCAATTTGTTGCAATAACTGTTATTCCAGCTCCTTCAGTTTGAACTCCTTCAGCACACGAGCACGGCGCTCATTTCTTTGACTCCCTTCGTTATTTCCGCCTCGCTGTTTTCACCGGGTTTCTTCTCTCCTGTCGTTTGCATCTGTATTTGAGAAGCTTATAGAAACCCCACAGGCTTTTTTTGCTTCCTCACCTCAACAGTCTACGCCTCAGAAAATAATAATAATTTTAAGAAACGACTAACTGAGACTTTGACACGTGTCCTGATCTCTGGAGACGTTGGAGAAAGAGGCATGTAGGTATAGAGAGATAACAAGAAAGAGTCTTTGCGCTGAAACGACAATGCTTATTGAAATTACTGTTGAAGGATGAAACGATGCTCAAAGAGCTGCAGAAGGGGGAAGATTTTAGTTTCACACCTCAACCCTCTCAGGCTCAAATTAAACTTTTTGTTGCTTCTGAGTAAAAAAACTCGTATGTGGGGTGATCAGGTTGTTAGTTTTTAACTGTTGCAAATCGGCAACGTCTGCCTGGAGAGGGTTAAAAGTCTCAGTGTGCCGTAGGTGCTGAAGATTACAGACGTGGGAATGAAGCCCGTGATTATAACAGTCAGGCTTACATTTCATCTCATTACGATAATAACCAGGGAATGAAATTAACACTCGAACGTCCTGTTGGGGAGCCCGTGAATACCCTCAGGAGCTGAGACACGTCAAATCTGTGCTGCGTTACCTG